GATTGTTGTGATTAGGAGAGGGGGCGGATGTGCCGTTGGACGGGGACGAGGAGGACGAGCGTCGAAGGCACGTGAGGCGGAGCGGGACGGTTCGAAAGTCTCGTATGACCAGGCAAAGGTCGTACGACGACGAGATGAAGAACGTGGCGGCTATGTCCGGCGGAGGTGGAGCGCAGCACGCGCATCCGGAGCCGGGGCTGGGGCTTCCGGTGCAGCTGCCTAGGCGGGCATCAGCCTACGACGTGTACGCGACGCCTGGCGCGGGCGGCCTCAACGCCATGGCCATCGCGGCTGCCCAGCAAAGAGCATCGATCTCCGCCCAAGGTACACCTCCGCCACGATACGTATCTCATCCTCTTAATTCGCCTATGTACGTACGCGAGATAAAGTCGGTCACGGACGCTTCCTTTCCGTGCCAGACGGATAGATACGTGTAATTGGATCGTCGCGACGAATGGAATATAACCGTTGCACGATCACGCGTCGAATAAAGATTTATTTCGTATTTCGTATTAATTCATCATCGAAAAGTATTTAGGTTTTGTTCGAGAATGCATCTATTTAACCGAATCATCGATATTAGGTATCTGTAGAAATGCGTGGAATAAAAATTTATTTCGTATTCTTCTTTTTTTTCCTCTGTTCATTTACGAAGATTTTTGGAAACGATGCGATGAATGCCATTGGATTTGGAACTTTTCTTCGTCCGTTGGCGAATTGATTAATTCATAAATTGTCGAAAAGTATTTAGGTTTTGTTCGAGATCTATTTAACCGAATCATCGATATTAGGTATCTGTAGAAATGCGTGGAATAAAAATTTATTTCGTATTCTTCTTTTTTTCCTCTGTTCATTTACGAAGATTTTTGGAAACGATGCGATGGATGTCATTGGATTTGGAATTTTTCTTCATTGGTGAATCATTGATATCAGGTATCTGTAGAAATGCGTGGAATAAAGATCTATTTCGTTTTTTTGTTCGTGCAATGGAAATCATTGACGTTATGATTTTTGTTGATTTCTGCTTAATCAATTAATTCGTTATCGAAAAGTATATAGGTTTTGCTCGAAAACAGATTGATCCAATTGAATCATTGATATTCAATTATTTATAGAATTATGTGGAAGAAAGATTTATTTATTATTATTATCGTTATTAATTAATTCATTTGTCGTTGAAAATTGTCGTAGATTGTGATGGAATCATTGACGTTAATTAATTAATCCATTATCCCAAAATTATTTGGCTTTTGTTCGAAAACGGATCGATCTAACCTATAGAGTTGCGTGGAATAAAGATTTATTTCGTTGTATTCCTTCTCTTTTTTCTCTTCTTTTTTGGAATTGTATACTTTCGGAATTTTTATCGTTATCGTGTATCGTTCGTTAATTAATTAATCCATTATCGCGAATGTACGCGACGTGGCGCGGTTGTGGATTTTGTTTTTAACGGGAACAATATCAATTCATATCAAAGTAACAAAGCAAATATACCGTTCAAACAATGAAACATTCGGACAGCAACTTATGCGGATAATAGAACGTTTGGATAATAGGTGTTTGAATAATGGATACTCGGCTGGATATAGATAGTGTTGGCCTGTAGTTATTAAACTTCGTTTATTTATGGGGTGATAAAATGGAGAATTGCCGTTGTCACGCGTCCGTGACATCGATGACGACGTCTCGTGCGAATCGATATCCGTAAAATCCGATAAACAATAACCATCTTTTTAAAAAATAAATGGACACGTTAATTTTCAAACCACGGTGTTAAATACGATAAAAATGTATTAAAGTCCTCTTCGCTTCGCAAAATTAAATACGGCAAGGCCTCGAATTAACAGGATCATCTTTGATTAATCTCGATCGAAATCGAATGGCGTTTCAATTATTTCCTTCGAGTATAAAATACTCGCGCAAAATTAACAGAACGGAAGAGCGTGATTAGACGCTTTCGGTTACAATTAAATCGTAAAAAGGAACGAATCTCTCCACTTTGAACAGTTCAATATCGCTAGCTAACGTCGACTAATTTGTTTGTCAAATTGAGGCAATTGTCGATCCTTACATTTTGGGATTAAAACGACAATTTATTTTCTCCCTAGGATACGGATAATATTATAAAATTATGCTCGAGGAGGAGGAGGAGTAAAACGAAGGGAAATAAAATTAAAATAATTCGAATAAAACGAAGAAACATCTCGGGATATGCAACATCGTGCGCAATAGGATCGTGTTTGCGGACACGTTTTCATCGATTGTGGAATGTTTGAAGTCGTATATCGGTTTCATAATTAAGCGTATTAACGCAATTCTTTTCTTTCTTCTTCTTTTTTTTTTTTTTTTACCGAGTATTTAATATCACGAAGCGAGAAAATTCTGGATAATTTACGATTACCGCGGGATGCATTAATTAATTCCCCCTTTAATTAAAGGGTGTCGTATGTAAGTAGTTGATAAATTGCAGTTTTCCATTAAGGTATAACGCGTATCGGGTGAATGCCGATTATTAACCGCGTTATCCGCGAATCTTTGTCATTTTCACGGGCCACCGACACGGATGAAATTAAATTTAATGCGACCAGGTATGAAGAGTCGATAATTGTTCCCATCACACATTGTGTTTAAATATTTATATCGTTCGATGTTAATCGGGTTGAACAGAGATACAAGATTGGAAACGATGTTGGAACATACCCATGGATGACCATGGTGTCAATTAATAGAGCTGATTATGAAAATAATACGAAAAATTTAATTTTAACTTGATCGCTCGAAATTATCGAGCATCGAAATCGAATTCGATTATAATATTTTTAATTTATGTTTGCGAACGAGCTATTCAACGTGGTTTTTTCCAAAATGTCAAAGATGCGCTTTTTCTCGAGGTCTTCGAATTTTTCGAAAACGATATCGTCAAAAGGGATTGCCGTTCAACGATTTTCCAAAACGTCGTGATCAAATCTTGGAAATCTTTTCCTTCGGATTTTTCCTGGAGAGACGAAATTTGAACGCACGAGAATGTTTCGATAAGATATTTCCACCAAGTTGAAAACGTTCCTTACGAATTATTGCCCGAAAAACGTAATCTGCCTTGATCAATGGCCTTTCCAAAATGTCATAACCACCCTTCCTGGACACGCTTCTTCCAAGGGAGAACGAAACGATGCTTGCATCCACTTGCGAGGTCTTTGAATCACGGTATTTCTCTCTCTTTCAAACGTTCAAATTATTCTATATCTTTTCAATCAATGACCTTTTCAAAATATCATAACCACCCTTGCTGGGATCCTTCGAATTTTTCGTTTCTCACGATATTTCTTTCAGAAGCATATTCTTCGAATATAACATATTTATCGACTTTCATACCGCATTTTATTCATCGAGCATTAAAAGAATTCTTATCGATCGATTACGACGAGCGATTTTCGATCTTCTGTAGCATCGATATTTCGTTTCTATCGTCAATCCTTTTCCACCGATTCAATAAACACCGTGAAAGCAATTCGAATCGTCGACGATCTTTCTCGATGATGCATCTTTAATCCTCTCGAATCGTGTCCGCCACAAACGTAATATTTACGAGCGCAAATAGACGACGTTCGGGCGTAAAGATCGGACAGTTATGAGAGGATGGAGCACTCGATTGGGTTGGCCGATGTCTTTCGCCGAAAGTGGTGCAGACGTTTAATCGAGTTTAACTTCTCCCCCTGTAGGGGGCTTGCTCCTAGTTGGTCGCATCCGTGTCCAGGAGCCTAATTTCATCTAATTTCAACCGGATCTCCAACTCGAACTTTAATCTCTAATAGTCGAAATACTTTGTAACGAGGTTCAACGCCGTTCCAATTAATTTGTGCGCTTGTTACGGGCTATTCGACAGACTTTAATTCGGTTTAAACCGAATCGCCGGGTTAAGGAGAATCGTAATCGTGATTACGAAAATTGTTAATCCCATCCTTGGATCGAGATTGCGCGATATCGAGTCGGATACGGTAACAATAATACCCTTCCTTTTCTTTCTTTTTCTGAAAATTATACGAATTAATCGTTACACTTAATCGTACGAAATTATTGAAATTTTAACGCGCGAATATTAATATTATAATACACGGTATTCAACCAGTATAATGGATTATTATATTAAATTATTAAAATCGAAACGTAAATACGACGGACTTAACCGAATCCCTGCGGGCCAAGAATCCCAGCGCCGCTAATTCGCTCGAAATTCGTTGATTCGACGTATAAAAACAATTTTCTCCAAAACGGAGGGAAAAATCTCCTTCCTCTTGTTCGAGGAGATATCGATTAACATTAAACCTACCGACATTTCATGTATTCCTAACCATGAGCGGTCAAATGCAAAAAAAAAAAAAACATTTGTATCTTAATAGATAGATTTTAGCTAATTGGATTCGTAAAGTAAACAATACAGAAAGTTGTGAATATTGAAAAATGGGTTGTATCTACATTATGGAAAAAGTGAATGAGTCGTGTGTACGCGATATAGTAACTTTGTATACAAGAAATTCTAAACGAAATTTCAAAAACGGCCATTTGACCGCGTCGTTAATTAAATTAAATTCTGCGAGACGAAGGAGCGTTAACGAAGGAAATATTCTTTTTCCCCAGGAGGAAGGAAACCCCCGGAAGAAAGGCCGGCCACTCGCAGATTGTCGTTCCGGGTTGTGAAGCCGTACGAGGTCGGGGCCGAGGATGAAAGTATGATGAATTTGGAGGCGTCCTCTGTGCCGGTCGTTTCGCCAAAGGTCGTTCCCCCGCCGGTTTTGGGCCCTGACGAGGAGCGCCGCACCAGACGAAGGGGCTCTCAACTGTAAGCTCTGTGCATCATCCGTTTAATAACGCTCCCCTTCGCGTATTAACCGCTCTCCCCGAAATAATCCTCCGCGGTGAGGATAATTGTCGAGGAAGAACATCGAGTTTTCCAATTAAATTTAATCGATAATTTTCCATTCCCCGTGTTTCGTACATAAACGAATGCGAATTGAATTATAGAAATTTAAAATGTATATACGTTTAATCGGATAGTATCCTTGAAAGTGATTCCTTTCAATTTATTAATTTATTCTCCCGTTGGTTTCAAACGTAACTTTTTCTGAATCGAACGTTTCGATTAATTTTTAAGGTTAATTTTTAAGTCATCCCTAATATTTTTTTAAAGTAGAATTTTGTTTTTCTTCAAATAGGTCGATTCGTTACGGTAAAATATAAAGTTGTGATTACGAAAAATTTTCAGCCCTGACGAGGAATCCATACTTTTCCATCGTATCTTGGAAGAAAATTCGATCTCCGTGTTTCGTATAAACATTACGAATTGAATTATGAAAATTTAATGTACATATATTTAATCAAAACGTATCGAAAACGATTCCTTTTAATTTATTAATTCATTCCTCGTTGGTTTCAAACGTAACATTTCCAATCGAACGTTTCGATTAATTTTGAAAACAGTTATCTCCAGTATTTCTCCTCAAGTAGATCGATTCATCAAAATATAAAGTTAGGACAACGAAAAATTTTGGATCCTTGGACGAGGAATCACTTTTTAAATTAAATTTGATCGATAATTTTCGATCCCCGTGTTTCGTACATAAACATTGCGAATTAAATTACATAAATTTAAAAAATATATATATATATTTAATCAGATCGTATCGAGAACGATTCCTTTTAATTTATTAATTCATTTCCCATTAATTTCAAACGTAACTTTTTTCAATCGAACGTTTCGATTAAATTTTTAAAACAGTTATCCCTAATATTTTTCCTCAAATAGATCGATTCGTTACGGTAAAATATAAAGTTACGACAAGAAAAAATTTTGACGAGGAATCGCTTGTTAAATTAAATTTGATCGATACTTTTCCATCGTATCCTCGAAGAAAATTCGATCTCTGTGTTTCGTATAAACATTGCGAATTGAATTACTTAAATTTAAAATATATATACGTTTATACATTCCTTTTAATTTATTCCCCCGTTGGTTTCAAACGTAACGCGTTTGAATCGATTATATTTTTTATACAAGCCAATTCCCAATATTTTTTCAAAAGTAGAATTCAATTTTTCCTCAAACAGGTTTTTACGATTTGCAAAATAAAACGGAGAGAAAAGTTTTTGGGCCCTGACGAGAAACGGCGCACGAAGCGAGAGAAGGGGCTCTCGAGCTGTAAGCGTTTATACGTCATCCGTTTAATAACGCTCCGGTGCGCAAATTAAGTGGTTTTCCCGAAATAATCTTCGTAATAAGGATAATTGTCGAGGAGGAGCGAGTAGAGTATCGATTCTCTCGCGTGTGTGTTTCCAGCGTAATTTTAATCGCTCTCGGATAAGTCTTCTTCTTCTTCTTCTTTTTTTTTTTAGTATCAAGCAAAATCGATCGATCTCGAAATATTTACAACGATTATACACAACGAGTGTGGACGGAGCGGTCTCGATGCACGAAAATTCCAATAGAATGTAACAAAAACTCGCGAGTTTAATTATTGGAATTTTTTTTATTCCCACCAGGTATATACGTGTTATAATATTTTTTTGGAACGAGGGCGGAGAGAATGATTCCTCCGATAAAAATGTTGGAAGATAATGGTTTAACGGAAAAATTCGTTTCTTCTTCTTTTCTTTTTTTTTAAATCTACTCTTTTTCTGTTTAATATCTCGAATTGTGATACTTTTTGCATTAGTTATTATTATCGTCGTATCTGTTGTTCGAGAGAAACTCGAAGTAGTTAATAACCCATAATACCCGTCATCTGTTGACAGCAGACAAGCCATTCGGAAGATCAATAGGGAAATCCATTACACGCAGCATTGGACATCGATCGAACGTGCGCAGCGTGGTTAGATTGATTTTCAAGAAATTACGATTCGAAAAGAATTTAATCCAGTTTCGATATTTTGAACAGTCGCATATTATCTTTTTCCTTATTTACAAAAACTACCACTCGCGATCTTTCCATTTAATATTATCCGCGACAAACGTTCGTAAGACGAACGAAAAACGCGTGAAAATTTTTGCGGTTAGTTTTAATCCAAGACGTGTTTACCTTCGTTCCATTCCCTTGCATCTTTTCCAATGCGAGTCGAGATTAAATTTAATCCTTTCCATCCGTGTTCCCAAACATTCGATCTTCGCGTGAACACTTTCAATTAAATTTGATAAATTTAAAATGTATATATATATATCGAAAATTACGATTCTTTTGAATTTTTCCTAATTTTGTTTCGAACGATTTATTCGTTTAAACGGATCGATTTAGATTGTGACAAAATGCAATATGCAACGCGCATTGTATCGTATTAATTGTATTCGTTTAATTATATACAATTAGATCCATTGTGTTTAATTAATAGATATTTATTTAATTATTTGATGATATAACACGTGTATACGTGTATCGTATTACGCATTTATGGTCGGTTTCCGTGCTTTGTCGAAACGTGAAAATTCAATTCGACGCAACGTTACAAAATACACAGCAATACCGCTCGATTCGTGCTCGATTGATACGTTCGATTCATTTATTCGAATCGATCGTTACACCTATTTATCTAAAATAATCAAAACCTATGCAATACCTGTATCTTTTGTTCGTTTGTTTAATGTCGCGGACAACGAATATCTCTCGTAAAAATATCACATTACGGGACGCTTTAAACTTTTCTTTTTTTTTTCTATTTGATACGAAACGGAAAACTTTGGCATTCGTCCACAGAGATTTCCCAAACGAAATATTTTCTCTTTGAAGAAACAAGATAAGAGATCTACTTTCAACGAATATCAACTCCGAACAATTTCGAACTTTATTTCGAATCGTACATTTAAATTTATTAATTCCTCGTCCATCCATTCTTGGAATTCGAGAGGAAGGCAAAGGCTCGTTAAATTTTTTACCGATGGTTTTACGAAGTTGAAAATAATATTTCCGAAACGTTCGTCCAAACGAGATTCCATTCTTTGTTACGTGAAATTTTTCTGCTTTAAAAGGGTCACGTTTTCGCGTAAAAATTATCATAGGATAGCGATGCAAATCGACGCAAAGGTACACTTCACGTTCAAAACCCGAGAGCTGTGTCGAGCCAAGGTCAATAAATTACGAGGGATAACAGAGTTTCGCATACGGCATACGAAAAATCGTATCTTTCCTGCGCTCCAACTATCCTTTTCCTCTGGAACAATATTTGTTTTTTTATTTACACAGTAAATAATGACCTATCAAATTCTTTTCCACCGACGAAAAATTATTATAATATCCACGCGTGCGTGTTCTCCTTCAACCTCCTCCTTCAACCTAAAAATATCGCGTATTTCATTTCAAAAAAATTCTTCCAAACGAAATATCCAACTTCGCAATATTATCCTGTCTTTTTTCTCGAGAAAGAAAGGAAAAACGAGCGGTAAAAGAAGAGGAGGAGAATTTGTTAAATAATCGAGAAGAACGGAAAATCGAAGGGACACGACTGAAAATTGAAACTCGTAATAAAACTTCACCGTCGATACAAAATTCCATTCTTTTGAAAGCGACAAGCCTCCCATGTTTTCGAAAATAAGGAAAAAAGCGACGCGCGGTTAAAGAAGATCCGCTCGGGGAAAATTACCAGCATTTTCCCCCTCCTTTCCCCACAGTTAAAGCCAGGCGAAATAATAAACCAGCAAAAACTCGAGTAGATGGCAAACACCAGGTTCCCGCCACTGGAGAAATAATTAACGCCACACCTATGCAATCTCTGTGGAGCACACGTCTCCTCCACCTTCTTCGGTTCCCCTCCCCGCTCCCTGTGCACGGTTATCGCACGGTTCCGTGCGCATCCGTCCGAATTCTCCGCGAATTTCTCTGACTCGAGGTTGGCAAACCTGGCTGGTTATTAATACCCGAGACGAGCCTGTTCCCTCCATTTTCATTAGGTTCGCGCAACTTACTCTTGGAGGGAATTACGTATTAAGAGGTTACAGTGGCACGAACAATACGGATTTTGATGGAAACAGAATTATTTTTTTCGCCGTTTCAGAGAGAGAGAGAGAGAATTACATTTTTTTTGCTTTCTGTCGTATCGTTGAAAATGCACGAATAGATGTAATGAGGGAACGTCCAACATTGCGTTTGATTAATACAGTATGGGATAAAGAAAGGAAATTTATTTTATTCGTGATTTGAAGCATTATTAAGTAACCGCTAAGTGAAATATTTGACGAAAAATATTATACGATAAGCTGGAGAATTGGAAATGGTGTTCTAAAGAAAGGAAGTCGTTGTTTCTCTTTGATTCTCGCCAACTCGAAGCGAAAATTCGGATTATTTTAATTTTTATATTTAGTGTATATATTTAGATATCGACGTCCAATTTTTTTTTTTTTTTATAGTATAAAACCGGAGATTTTGGACCAAATTTTAACGATTTGAAACTAATTCGATAAGTCACTTGAATAATTTACTTATCGAGTTAACTGTAGTGAAATAAATGTTATTATTATTTTAAATAATCAGTTTTTTCACTACGATTTTCAAACTGGCAAGGAGGTGAAATTTTTTTCTCAAATGTAAAAAACGATTTTTCTTGTAAAAATTAGAGATCCCAAACGTTTTGTTATACAAATAATTGCCAATGATGTTATCAATTTTAAATTAAATTCCATTTCCAATATATATATATGTATATGAAACATGCAGTTCAAGTTCAGATAACAGAAATATTACGATAAGAGAGATTTTTAAACGATACTCAATTTCCTTCAAATACACGCTCGCTTCAATCGATTTTGCGATTTTGCGATCGAGAGCGGAGCAGCCAAGTTGGCACAACGACTTGTTAGCATAACGACGTTCCCCGCAATATCGTGTACACTGCGTTGAACCCGTAATACATCTCGTCTCGTCAAAATGGTATTTCTCAACTGCTCTCGCGGCAACTTACGCGGCACGAGAGCGCTCCGCTAATTGTGACGCCGCGGTGTTAACGAATTAATAGATGCTCCATCACTTATCGTGTTTCCGTGTCGTAAATGCTTCCACGTTAATTATAAAATACGTCCGTTCGTTGACGCGCTCGTTTAAAAAACGAATCGTTTAAAAAATGAATCGGATCGAACGAGGTATCAATTTTTCGAATCGTAATCTTTTTTGAAAGGAACAAAAAAGAAAAAAAAGGATGTATCTTCGAAAGGTTGGTCGACAGACAAGCGGAGAAGAGGAAAATAAAACGTCGGAGTTTCGTTCGATCGGTATCTTCCTTTCTTTTTTTTTTTTCTTTTTTTCTTTTTAACCGATTCGTCGCCACCGCGTATTCCGTATAATGCTTCAATCAACTGTCCCGGTTTTTATCGCTGGATTCATTTTTTCTTCTTTTTTTTTTTTTTTTCGGAACAGAAGAGAACCGAATATCTTCCATTTTATATATCCGTCCACGACGAATGTCAAACGAAAAACCGTGTAACACGAAGATTGCAGAGAATACGATACCTTTGTTCGTTGAAATATCATCACACCTCGTACAACATATCCTTCCACCATTATACGATAATAATAAAATTTCCGAGGGGATGATAAATTCGATTAAAGTTATTTTTCTGCGCGATAAATCCTTCCCTCCCCTCCCCCGATTTTTCTGTTTTGCGGGGGAAGAATAAACGCGGGAAACTTTTCTAATTAAAAACGGAAAGTTACTCCGCGAAAAGTTTCGAAGTATAAGTCCAGACTCTGCAACAACGAAAGATGATCCAGGTAAAAAAAAAGAAGAAAACGATAGGAGACTATGAATAGAAATCTCAAATTTTTCTCGAGATCGATAACGATTACGATTACGGGTCACGTTTAATAAAAAAAATTTCCACAACTTTTTCTCGCGTTAAATGTGTATAAGAAAAAATAAAAAATTATCGGAAACTTGGTTATTATTTCGACGCCATAAACCAGCTCGATATTCGCGCAACTTTTTACGAGTTTTTTTAAACTTGGAAAACGGTATCTCGTAAAACGTGCCAAAAAAAGTAAGAAAGAATTTAACACCCGAAGAAGCTTATATATTTTTTTCCCCTCCCATCGATACATTTTTCCAGAATTCGATATCGAACGATTCGAAGGGAAGACTCGAAGCGGAAGAAAATTCGATCGAGGTGGCAAAGATTTTACCATACCAAGAGCGTGATTCAACGCGAACAAGATCATCGACTTGGCAACCCTGTTTACGAGGGATTAAGCGTCGCTTAACGGCCAACAAACCAGCGACGACAACTTTCTCTCTAATCGCGCGAAAAAACACATTTTTCAATTTTTTCAACCCCTCGAAAAGTCCGTCTCTCAACGATTAAAATCGACGATTCTTCCTCCTCCTCCAAGAGGGATACCAAAAAGATATTCCAAGAGTTCTCACCTACCGATTAAAAACTTTCTTCCAATCTTCTTAGACCAGTTAAACGTCGAAAAAGTTGGGAAGCGAATCATGGATATTACGATTCTCGGGCTCAATCGCCGCTTTCAACCATTTTTCCCACTCTCTCTCTTTCCTCCTCTTCCACCGCCTTCGTCATCGTCATCTTCCCTCACCTTTTTTCTCTCGTCAACTACCACGCTTAACTCTTTCTCCGCGTGGACGTATTCAAATCGGGCGTATCGATTGAGTCGAGCCAAGCAGGTCGAGCAGAAACCGCGCGAAACGCCCTGTTTCACTTAATTCAGCGCTTTTCGAGCATGAACCCCCCTCGCTTAAGCTCCACTCCATCTTCCGCTATTCCGAGCGAGGATGGTCGTTTCGCCTCGAGTTCGAGAACCAGATTAATTAGGATTTCGCGAAACAGCGGACGAGGAGATAAAGAGTGCAACTTCTTCTTTTTTCCTTTTTACTTCGGCTCGCTTCGTTTCTTGTAATACATTTCCACGTATGACAACGAAATTGCAGATATTTGTAATCGCGATATCGAGGCTATTCGTTGCTTAAGGTGTCGCTTTTCGTTTAATTTTTCATTATGATACGTTATTATCGTGGAAATTTTAATTGAAAAGTGACTTGATTTACAGTGGTTGCGAATTGTTGTCCGTACACAGGGATTAAAACTGCACGAGAGTGAAAATAAGGAAAGAATATTACGTAAACATTAGATCTGCAAAAAAATAAAAGAAGTTGTATAAACTATAAAAGAAGTTATATTAAAATATGAAATCTAAAGTTCATAGGGAGCTCGTCGTTACATCGAAAATCGTACAATCAATAAGGCGATGGTATTTATGAGATGTGTTTGTGTTTACTATTCACTAGAGATTAAGTTACTAGATTTTTTACCTGTGGGCAAACGATTGTGTATCGTTCGAATCGATTTCAAGAACTAATAGAAAAGCAAGATAAAGATGGAATGGGAACGCAAACTTCTTTTCAACGTAACAAAACGTTCGCAGAACAACTTGTGCTTCTACAACATTCTTTTTTTATCTTTCGATCGCAGATCTGTTAAGGGATAGAATCGCGAGACGATTTGATTAAAGTAAAAAATAATTAAAATAATGCAGGATAAAAGAAAGAATACATTTAATAAAGGAAATAGGAATAAATTGCGTTGCGTAGATGTGGATCGTGCCGATGACTTTCCTCTACTGAACTCGTCGCGCTTCGAAATAAACAAAGAATCGAAACGGCGTTCGCGTCCAAGGATACGCCCGACTCGCGCGCAAATACGAGACACGTGTCGCGCCTTTACGTATATTTAAACTCAGCAATACTTGCGCAATTCGATTTAATTAACAGGGGGACATCCCGTATAATAATTTCAACGTCGAGACGACAATTTTACTGTGAAATTTCTCGTATCGAACGGGCCAATTTCGAATCGAGAGGAAAAGAAAAAGGAAGTGTTTCTAATAGCTCGTTTCCCTTCATCGATCCGATTTTTTTTGAATCGAACTCGTTTTCAATTAGAAGAACGGGAGAATTTCGACGTAGAAATGACTGAAACGATTTCTCTTTCTTTACGAACTCTCCTCTTCTCGTCGCATTAAACAGAATCGAAACAACGTTCAGTAATTCATACATAAATATATAAAATACGTGTTGCATCTTTACGATACTTGTGCAGTTTGATCGTCTAATAATAATTTCAACGTTGAGACGACAATTTCGAATCGAGAGGAAAATATTTCATTTCCCTTCATCGATCCGACTTTTTCAATCGAATTCGTACGAAATTCAATTACAAGAACGGAAGAATTTCGATATATAAGAAGAAATGTTTGAAACGATTTTCGAACGATTCTCCTCCTCTCATTAAAAAAGCTATGTAGCTACGTGTTTTGGATTTGACTTTATACAATCGCATAATAATTCCTCGTCTTTGGCTACAGATGGATAACGCGATCACGCCAAACGTGACTCGTTCTTCAATGATTCCTTGCTTTTCCTAACTCGTTCCAATCATTTTCGCATTTCCTCTCCAAACACTGCGAACGTGACTGGCTACATTTTCCCGTTCCAATGATTCTTAAGCGTGTTTCGATATAAAAGAATTCAACAAGTATAAAAAAAAATTTAACCCGAAAATCTAATTATATACTTGTTTAAGAAGATTAAAGTAACTTTTCCATTGGTCGAACTCGACGAGAGAGAAGCCAAAATGCACTTTCGTTCGATTGTTAATCTTTTGCTAAATCGATTTATTAATTATTGAAATCGAGACGAAACGAAATAGGCGAGAGAAGAATTTGATTCAATCAATAAAAATATTAACGCGTGAATTTTAAACACAAAACCTATAACAATATTATTACGAATTATTCCTCCGTGTGTTATCCACCACTCAACGCGAATAATCGCCAAACGTTACATCTCCATTTTCACGTATATAAACGTTGGATGCAGAAAAGAATTTCGGTTTCTATTCTAATTTCGGAAAAATAAGAGTTTGTCAATAATTAATAAACATCGAGTTAAATAATCGAATATTTTATTCAGAGAACTTGTTCTTCCCTCCAATCCATTATTTCCTTTTCGTCAATATTCCCTCAATAATCGCCAAACGTTAGATCTCCATTTCCATGTATATAAACGTTGGATGCAGAAAAAAATTTCGGTTTCTATTCTAATTTCGGAAAAATAAGAGTTTGTCAATAATTAATAAACATCGAGTTAAATAATCGAATATTTTATTCAGAGAACTTGTTCTTCCCTCCAATCCATTATTCTCTTTTCGTCAATATTCCCTCAATAATCGCCAAACGTTACATTTTCACGTATATAAACGTTGGATGCAGAGAAGAATTTCAAAGTTTCTTCTAATATCGGAAAAATAAGAGTTTGTCAATAATTAACAAACATTGATTTATCGAATATTTTGCTCGGAGAACTTGTTCTTCCCTTTTTTTCAAAATTTAAAATTCCAGCGAATCAAGTTCGTTGAATTATCTCTCCCCTCCCTTCCGTCCGTGCACACAGCTCGGCGTAAAAATGAACGTGCGACACTTTGATTTCAGGCCGGATATAAACGCCATAAAGGGATTGGCATCTTCGGGCTCCTCGGCCGCGACAAAAGTCGCCCCTCCATCGGCTGTGAACAGGGTCGCCGCCGAGGATCGTGAGCTGGCACGACAAGGAAGCCTCGTCGACGGGGAAAGTATCAAGATCGTTATCCATCACGCGGACAATGACATGAGTGAGTAGCGGCATCTTCCCGTTAAAATCTTTTCCCGTCCTATTATAAGGGAAGAGAGAAAACTGGGACCATTCACGATTTTCAATATGTTTTTTTTTTCCTTTTAAGGGAATTTTTTTTATTTAATATCTCACCGTGACACGTATAATTGATTAGGGGAGATAGGAGAATTTGAAATATTGCTCGTCATCGATAATGATGTGTTGGATAAGTTAAGATATGAACGAAAAATTATAAATTATTACCAGTCGATTGAATTATTATTATTCATTCAATCGATTAATTGTTTGATTGTTTAGTGTTAAGATATTTAATGACCAGTTAGGTCCAATCTAGCCAAATAATCTGGAAATTATTTAAAAATTAATGTATAAGAACTGGTATATTGAAATAATTCAGACGAACCGATTATGATTCTCACCAGCCCTATAATATCTACTGATAACAAATTAAATGCTTATAATATAAATCAATACGATGTGTAATACAATATAATAACTCATAGTAGAAAGTTATCATCGGTGAGAAAAATATGGGGAATCGCGAGTGATGCTAATTTTTTGGGCAGACATTAGCGAGACTCGTGTCAAACAAGATTTCGGAGGACACTTTTCGTCGCTTTGTTCGCGCTCGAGGCGAGATGTTATCCGGCAAAGATAACTCGGCGGTATCCGCCTCGAACATCTTTTCGCAAAGTTTTTGCCGCGGTGAAACTGAAATCGAGAATGTAATACACCGATACTCGAGGAATCGTTGAAGTGCAAGGGTGGGGGAGGGTTTAAAGAGAAGTAAGGAAGGAAGGAAGGAAGGTGTAATCGAATATTCAAATTTTGAATCTGGGTCGTTGAAGTTTCTTCCACGAAGAAGAGGAGAGAGCTGTTACTCTGTCGATGTAATTAGAGAGGCGGATAACGTGATAATAAAGTTTCTCCTCCCAGATGCGGTATCTCTGTATCGGATCCTTTTAAAAATTCATAACTTCGTTTCGTAATACCTTTGACTGTTTGCTTGAATCTCCTTTGCATTCCCCCCCTCCTTCTCAAAATAGTTTTCACCTTTCTTTCCATTACTTGCTTACCTTCGCTCCCCTTTTTTTCTTTCTTTCTCTCGTTTTTCCCCTCGTTGTTGCTTACTTACCAAACAGAATAACATCGGTAAAGATGTTATTCTTAGAGTTTTAAGGAGTGTTATAATGTTTTGTATGTGTTTAATAAAAATAAATAGGGAATGGAAAGTACGATTCAGAATTCAGATCTAAATATCTCTCCCGTGAGAATGGAAAAACCTTGCCGCGTGTTGGTAATTAAATTTTAACTTAATTACAAAATCGGGAATTTAACAACCCGGCGGACAATGCGGAAAACACACAATTTTTTGAAATTCTGTAAAAATTCTGAAAAAAAAAAAAAGTATTCTCTCTTCGTTATACGGTTGAAAGTGGAACAAGGTCCACGCGTAAAACTAACGCTTCTTACGTATAGAAAATGGCTTTGTGAAGATTGTGAGAATGATATTTGAGAAAAAAGTGTTTCAAAGCGAACACCTTCAAATACGCTGCGCTTTGTGTAAAAATTAATGAAACTGGAAGGAAGTAGGAAAAAAAAAAAAAAAAGAAAAAAGAAAAAAACAAGAGTTTCGAACAAAAATATTAAAATAACGAAGCGTATGAGAGCATAAAGGCTCTTAAATGGTAACGATGGAAAGAAATTCTGACAAAAAGTTAACAACGACTCGTAACGCCACCTGTTTTGCGCCATTTTTCACCGCCTTTCCCTCCCTCCCCCCCCCCCCGAGAATTCAAAATAAAATACATTACACGCCCATTTTTAACATTGCTTAACATTGCATTCCACTCACATTTCTTTGCGATTTAAAAATATTACGTAGTTTTTGAAACTGTTTCACGATTACAGTGAAATATGTTTTTTTCTAAACACAAAAAAGACACAGAAAAAATATATTGTATATAGACAAGTTCGAAAAACAATGTATGTTATTATTCTTTACGATATGTATATCGCAGAAGGGCTGGAAGCAGGGAGAATCTATTTTCCCTATAAACTTTTATCGGACATCTTTCGACAGAATGAAAATACCCGGTGGGAATTTGGTGGAAGAGAAAACAAAGAAAGGATGCACAAGAGATAAAGAAAGATTATCTCGGAAGATAAAACTGATTTTTTCCCCCGACGGATATGAAATTTTACAGATCTTCCTTTAAAAACGGGAAGCTTTACCATCGTCCTAAGAAATTTCAATTACCCACTTCGAATTCTCTAATTCGATATGCAATAATCTTTCTAAAACATTTCAACCCGAAAAAGAAAGAAGAAGATAAGAATATTATCGCGGTTCGTAGACAGATTTCTTAATAAAAATAATAATTCTCTCGCAATCTCGAAACACGCATTGCCTTATCATCGCGCTACAACGCGTGGATTTTTTTTCCATCTTTGGAAAAAATGTGCAACGCTTGTAAAGAGGCTAGGATATAGCGAATCACTTTCTGCGAGAACGAGCATCGATCGAAAGTGGAATTTCGGGTATAAACGAAATCATCTTTACGCTACATTGAGCGGAAGTTACGCGTCTGTATTGTAGGAAAGAAAGCGATAATCTCGTTCCATTCCTGTCTTTTGTTGAAAAAGATATATATATATACACACACACATGGTATACCTTTTACTCAGCCCCTTCTATTAAAGAAAAAAATGTATCAAACACACTTTGTCGTTTATTGCAGCGCCCTGGGTGAACGCGAAGAGGAGAATAAAACTGAGAAGAGACCCGAGTTTGGACAAAGGGCATAGAAGTAAGTACGTTGTTATTTTTGAGAAATTAAAATCGAGATCAATTTCTTCTTTCCCCTCCCCTCCTGAGCGAAGGAAAATTGGAAAAATGATCTCGTCGCGACAAGAGCGTGAGGAGAGGAGACGCGATGAAACGCGAGATATAAACGACGATCCGTAAAGGAAGGTTGATAAAGCATTGAAAAGAGTTACGTGTAGCGCCGACAGGGTGTGCGCGTGACGTTTAATTACTCGTTGCTCTTTCTGAATAGGTTCGCTCACTTTTCACTCCTCTCGAGATGCGCGCGATGAATTGCATCGAATGAATCCTCGAAAATCGAATCCGACACGGAGCGAAATTATTACCACGTGGGGATTAGAGTTAAAATTATCCTTTGTACACGATACGACCGGTTACAAAACCGACGAATCACACGGTTTAACGCGATCGGTTCGCGTCCAAGGGAATTCGTTACAATGGGAACAGTGTTGTGGGTTTGTCGTAACAGAGAGTTTGTTCGAGTTTGGCGGCGGACGTCGAGAGATACGTATTTCCATTTTCGATACTTTTGGAAAGTTACCAAAAGTTAGAAGAATCTTTTTCTTATAAGGCGAATTTTAGGAGTATTTGGAGAGAAAGGAGAAACGTTTATTGCGCAAGTGGTTCGAGTTGAAAAATTCGATAGTTAATTGATTACCCTTAATGATTCAGCAGATTGGATCGAAATGAAAAGTGCTTACACAGCGCTTTCCAACCGACTTACGAAAGTATTTGTGATTTATTACAACGGTATATCGTTAAATGAAAATAGCGTATATTCATTGAATCGAACAATGAACGTTTTATTATATTTGATGTATCGTGCACAAAAGTCTAGTTCCAATTCATGTACAATGTTTTTAATCCGTCTTATTTTCTACGTATATATTTTTCTCTTTGTACATTTCATATTTACATTCTGCGGCTAAAAATCCATACGGATATTTAGAAATTTGCGAGAAGCAAATTGTTATCGAATATTTTATTTCAAGAGTACAGAAAGATAAAAATTTTTTTCTATATATGAGACATTGTTGAATTTAACGAATTGAAGTTCGTGTACGATTGATTCTTTGATTCAATCGTTTAATTCAACTTATCAAAATATTCGGATAATCGATATTCGTCATAAAATCTAATTACACGAAATGTCTCGAAAACTAACATGACGTCTTTACCCTTCCAGAAAGAGGAAACTAGATAGCGCAAGCGTAATTAAACTTGTTAACGATGGCCGACAGTTTACACGTGTTTGCTCAGGATTGCTTAAAAATTGAAAGAGCCGTTTCACAGATTAGATTGCCAGCCTTTATCCGCTCTCGAATTAAATTAATCGTTTCTAAGGTAAAATCTCACTCGAGAAAGAGTTCTATTCCATCGAAATTCTGGCCCAACACGGTTTTAAATGTCTCTCTCTCTCCTCCTTTCTGCCTTTCGTCTCTACCTTAATACTCTTTCTTCCCTTTTCTTTAATCCACGTAAATAAATAATAGACTTTGACGATCGATTCGAATCGAAGATCATAATTTCTCTCAAGCCAGCTTTCTTTCAAATTCAATTTTCTCGCCTCTCCTCGCTCATTTCATTGAATCTATTCAATAACGATTTCCTTTTGTGAAAATTCTTTTCTCGTGCTGCGAGATGGACACGATCCTTTTCGAACGTATATCATTCCCTTTGTTCTTATTATTATTTATTAACCGCAAGAAAAATATGATTTCAATTCCTCCGATCGACTCGTCCTTCTTGAAAACATTCACAATTCGATCGTCACGAGTTTTGAAAGTTCTCCTTTAAATCGTTAAAATTGAATCAACGAAGATTCGCAAACTTTTCGTTATCTCCAATTTGAAACGGATCGCTTTTCCCTCGTTTCATTCCCGTATTATCTCGACAAATAATCATCTTTGTTATCGGTTCGAGCTCCGGCAGCGCTGTTCAACGAATTAATGCGATTGGCGGAGAGAAAGGGCAGAGGGAAATTCGATTTGCCTACGGGGGAATTTGGGTGGCAAATTTTCGAGGGCCGCCATCAGGATCCATCTCATGGACGAACGTTAACAAGATGGAGGCTGGCTCGAGTATTTATCGAAAATCCCGTAGAGAAACGGGCAACCGATCAGATAATTACGCTGCAACGTCATTACCAGAACAAGCCTGCGGCTCCCAGACCTTATCGTAGGCCCGGTATTCCCAGCCTGTTAATTAAGCCTGAATGACGGCCCTTGATTGGCGTTCTCGCGTCGACGCCCATCAAAACTGGTCAATTCTCTGTCTTCCTCTGGTCTGCTCGCGAACAATCTGCTCCTTCTTCCATTTTTCCTATTTGCCTCTCTCTCTCTCTCTCTGTTTGCATACGAATAACAAACCTTCAAACTTGCCTTTCTTCATTATAAATCCGCCGTTTCCCCCCTTTTCGACTCGTCAACTTTCCTACTCTTTCATAATCCTCCAACCTGCTATTCTTTCCTCGTTCAAATTACACATCATCCATTTTCCCTCCTCTCGATTCGTCAACTTTTCTACTTTTTCTTTTCCTTTCTTATTTTCTCTACTTGTTTCTTTCTATGTCTTTCTCTCTGTTTGCATTCGAATAATAAACCTTCCAACTTGCCTTTCTTCGTTATAAATCCGCCATTTCCCCCCCTTTTCGACTCGTCAACTTTCCTATTTTCTTTCTTCTCTATTTTCGTCTCTCCGTATACAAATCCTCCAACTTGCTATTCGTTCAAGTTACGTTCATCGTTCATTTTCGATTCGTCAACTTTTCTACTGTTTCTTCTCTTTCTTATTTCCTCTATTCCTTTCTTTCTACGTCTCTCTCTGCTTGCATACGAATAAGACAACAAACCTTCCAATTTGCTATCCTTTCTTCGTTTGGATTATGAATCCCTTATTTTCCCACTCGTCAACTTTTCCACTTCTTCCTTTCCCCTTTTATTTTTATTCCTTCCTCCCTTTCCTTCTCTCCACGAATAACAAATCTTCCAATATCCTTTCTCCGTTTGGATTATAAATCCGCCATTTTCCCTCTTCCTCCGACTCGTCAACTTTCCTCTTTATCTTTCTCCTTCTCTCTTTTCCGCTCGCGGCAAACAAATGACAAATCTTCCAACTTTCAAGCTTCCCTTTCTTCCTTCGAATCCGCCGATTTTCCCTTCTCGTCAACCAGAGAGAAATTATGACGATCCCGTTTTCACGAGCGGAACCGATGATGAAAACGAAGAAGGGGGAGGATGTTCGAAGTGAAATTTCCGCGAGATGCTCCAAGATTAACGATTCCGATCAGAGATTGCCCTCTTTCGAATAGAGGAGGACGCGTTAATCCCGCCGCCATTACCAACCAACCAACGCTAGAAACATCGAATGGAAATACCTGTTGCTACGCGTGTGCGGGGTGTTCATTAGCCGTGACGTTGGTATTAAATTAGCTCGGTGTTAATCGCACGCTTTACTTCGTTACTACGGACATCCGTCAAGAGGAATATTCATTGTTTGCCTTCCCTCCCCTCGTCTAACCTCGTGTAATAATCTCGTTCACCGAGATAAAACCGGTGAACGAACTCCGCGAATGCCACTCGGCGTATGAAAATTCGCGCAAATTGTTCGAGCCAAATTAACCGAATCCATTTGGACGTTCTCGCTTTTCGTTATTTGTTATTCCGTTCTTTTTTTTTTTTTTTTTTTTTTTACATAATTTTCGAGAGTTTCGAAAACGAGAGAATTTTTCTTCTTTTTTTTTTTTTTTTTTTTCATTTCATTTTAGGAAATCGATTCATCTCCTCCACTCGCTCATCGAGTTAACGAGTTTCGCTAGCTAGTTCCGTGGAATTTTTTTCTATCCTTTTTTTTCTTTTTTTTTTATTCATTAGAGGTTTATATATGATGACTCGTTTTATCTATTATCGGAGTATCGATCATTTTTCCTACTTTTCGAATTTTTTGATTTTTTTTAACCCGTTACAGTACAACGGCGATGCGATGATTTTTTCTATTTGAAAACGCGCTGCTCATCTATTCAATAAGGATACGACATGTATGAACGAGAATTTTTTTTTTCTTCTTTTTCTTTTCTTTTTTTTTTTTTTGATTTTCCAAATTCTCGTTATTGAAATTTGACGTGTTTCCACTCCTCTCGCCGATTTTGATCAATTTATAACACTTGGCGATCGGAAATCTAATATTTTTTTATCTCCACGGAATATTTTTTAATTGGATCGTTAACTATCGCGTCTAAATATTTCTTTTTCCCACCTTTCCATTCCTCCCCAGTAGAAGAGACACATTTTCGCGGAGAACGAAGCTAATGATAGTCGGTTGACTTTTTTCAATTTCGAAGCATTTAAATCGTTTCGACGATCCTTTTTCTTCTTTAAAGAGCACGTATCGGTTAAAAGTTATATTTTTATCGGTAATAAAATAAAAGGCCATTGGCCCAACAAAAACCGTTTGTTTATTCAAACCGTGAAATAGAAATAGGAATAAATAACGAATTCGTCGAAATCATTTTGAAAACGTTTCTCGCGGTCGAGATCAACATTTTTTTTCGCGTTGTGATAAAAAATTATTGGCCAATTTTCGATCGAGTAACAAAAAACGATTTCACTTATTTCCTTCAATTTCGAGCGATTCTTCAATTTCAATAATCCTGTCGTTCGTTATTTCGTTCACAAGTTGTATTTGAATGGTGCCGCGATCTGCCGAATTTTTAAATGGCATAATAAAAAAAAAAAAAAATCTAACGCGGAAAGCAAATTTGCAATAGAACGAAAATCAAAAGTAAAGCCAAGCCAGATTTCCCTCTCCCCTCCCCCTCCTCCTCTTCGTCGATATTCGTATCACTGGCCAATCAACTTTGCGTGCGTGTACCGATTTTTGCCCCACGTGTCGCGCGTCAGCGATCCATCGATTTCGAAGCGCAAAACTTCGAATCTTTCGACGCGGAATTGCAGGGCTACGCAGCAACGAGGCGACAAAAAAAAAAGAACGGAACGAATCGTGTCACGCGTAAAAAATAAATGTCGTCTTGACGTTTCGATCGACACGCGGGGGGATCGAAATAGAGTTCGATTTACAATTTTGCAGAAACGGACGAAATTTTGAAATTTTTCGACTTAAATCAAATACTTAATTTACAGAGCATAAAGGTTTTATCTCCTCGTTTCTCTTCCTCCTCCCTGTTATAACTCAACAACAATTTTCTTTGCCGAAACTTCTTCTTCTTTCTTTCGCTTTGTTGTTATTACAACAAGAGCAGTTCTCTTTCATCGAGAACGAGAAAAATTGGATTTCTTTAATCGATGCTTCTTCAGTAAATTTATAAACTACGTGGAAAAAGAAAAAGTCGTACATTTATACCACCCGAGGGATTAAACTAACTTTTTCATCGTGTATTATATATGCTCAAGTTATTCAATTTTACAGCCGCTGGTTTCGGTCTAAGGGTGGTTGGCGGTAAAACAGGGACCGATGGACGTACGTTTGCATACGTGATGTGGACCCTGCCCGATGGGCCAGCGGCAAAAGTTGGTATACAGCGAGGCGACAAGGTAAGAATCTCGTCAATTTTCTTCTATTCTTTTTTCTCTCTCGAAAACTTGTTGTAACTTTGTTCGCACTTTCTTCTTGTGAAAAGTTATTTTTTTTTTTTTTTTTTACTCCTTCGACGCGTATATCGAGCAGAGAGACAGGTACGGAGTTTGGAAATAGAAATTGGCATCGCAATTGTTTCGATCGGGCGCGTTTGGATCTTGGGATGAAATAAAAATGTGTTGCGCCCATAGAAGCGGGTAACATATTGCAAGCGGTTAATGCGTGCGAATATCGACAACCATTCTCCCCAGCTGTGATTTTAATTAAGTTATCGACAGCTTTGCGCCCAACGCAAACGCGCCGCAATAGTTCACCAAGCAAACCTATACATCTCGCGAAATCGTATCGAATCGCGTGATCGTTTAATTTTATATAAAAATAGCTTTGCTCTCTTCAGGATTATATCAATACATCTCGACGTGGTGCACAGCAGTCGTGGAGGATCTGAATCTTGTATCTCGACTTTCCCCATCGAAACTTTGCGCGAGGCGAAGTGGTATTTCCTTGTAGGAGGAAAAGCATTTTGATGAACACCGTTGAATGAATAGAAATTGATGGAAGAATTGGCGGATACACAAAAGTTGCGCAACTGCGTAACTTTTAATCTTTAAACTTATCTTTTACATCAGATTTTTTTTTTCGAGAATTTATTTCTGATCTATTTCTTCCTAGATTTCAAGATAGGAGAAATTTTTTCCGTCCAAGAGATCATACAAAACAAAATTTGGAATAGTTTTGAAATAATTTTATCATTAAACACTCCTCGCAAAGGATTTCATTTAATCGTGATAAATAAACTGCCTCACGCTTAAAATATATCAAAGATACATCGAAGATTGGTTAGTCTAATTTAGGAACCAGTTTAATGCGCCCATATTTTTTCTCTTTTTTTAAAATTACATTACAGCCACGATCGAATCGAATAAAACGGTGAATATTTCAAACGTCGGGTATAAAATAATGCGAAAGTTACATTGAAGATTAGTCTAATTTAAGAATGAGTTTAATGCACCCATATTTTTTCTCTTTTTTTAAAATTACGTTACAGCCACGATCGAATCGAATAAAACGGTGAATATTTCAAACGTCGCGTATAAAATAATACGAGAGATACATTGAAGATCGTCCTAACGAAATTAGTCTAATTTAGTTTAACCGATATTTTTTTTTTTTTAAAATTACGGGATCGAATTGAATAAAACGACGAATACACCGAATGGTCATTTTTCTTCGCCTACACCTTTTCATAAATTTCTCCCCTCCCTCGTCGTGATCGCGTTGGAGAGAATCGAACGTACACGAATAATTGCCTCGCTCGGCCATTAATTGGAATAAGCCTCGACGCGAGGTCGATTGATATTTTTTTTTTTCTTTTTTTACCAACTTTAAATTGCCCGTATATTTTTGTTATCCGATATTGCTTTCCAATTTAGGAAGCGGGCCGCGTTTATCACGGGCATCGTCGACGAGCATCCTTCAGACAACTCGATAACAAAAGTTCTCTTTTAAATTTCAAACGAATAAATTGTTTCTCAGCGTGGAAAGGTGGGGGTTGCACGCGAGATCGTTCGTTTATCTCGTTTGTTTCTGCGTATAAAAGAATGGAGATTATTCAGAGAGCAATGCTCCACCAGCTTTTCGTAAACGAGAAAAGTTTACTTCATTTTCAATTATCGAATTCCACGTCTTGGCGAGCTTCGTTGGAGAAAATATTGGAGATTTTTTGCTCCTTGTAGGTTTCTCTCCTTTATAAATAAATAGATTACGTTCCATTGTTCCACATTCTCGAATCCTACGACATCGCATGTGATTTGACAGCGTTTCGAAAAAAAAAATAAAAGAGAGAAAAAGGTATCGACATATCGAAACATCGCTATCGAAGACACACAAAAAAAAAAAAAAACGTCGAACGTGTGTTTCTGCAAGACAGAGGATCGTCCCTGATCGATGAATAAAAATTTGTCCGTACTTGTTCCCAGGTGTTAGAGTGGAATGGAGTGTCTCTGGTGGATCGAAGCTTCGAGGAAGTGGTTCAAATAACAGAGCGGAACGACGATGTGGTCGATCTGGTGGTCGAGCACGTTGCCGACACGTAAGTAATAATAAGAATCGATTCCTTGCTCGCTCCGTAAAG